GCTGCCTGTAGAGCTGCCTGTAGGGCTGCCTGTAGGGCTGCCTGTGGCGCTGCCTGTAGGGCTGCCTGTAGGGCTTCCTGTGGCGCTGCCTGTAGAGCTGCCTGTAGAGCTGCCTGTAGAGCTGCCTGTAGGGCTGCCTGTAGGGCTGCCTGTAGAGCTGCCTGTAGGGCTGCCTGTAGCGCTGCCTGTAGCGCTGCCTGTGTGTGGTAGTATTTTCTCACCCATGTGACCTGCAGCCTGTGTCGTTGTCTGGTGAGCTGCGTCCTCTGCTGCCGTCGTCCTGGACACCGCCTCACCTCCATCCTCCTCTGATGACATCAGCTCCTGAGGAAGACCGCCGTCTGATGACGTCATCTGTGGACATGACTGGTTAGCTGAGGGGCCGTGTGTGTTGTCTGTGGGTGTGTGTGTGTGTGTGTCGTACCTGTGTGCTTCCCTTCACATGTATCTGCAACACTGGCGCTGCTGATGACATCATATACTCTGATTTGTTATCTGTCTGCATAGGCTCCTCCCCCTCCCCTATTGCCATTACCATGGCGACAGACTCCGCCCTGTCCTCTCCGACCAATAACGACATCTGCTGCAGAAACACACACAACTATCACCATCATCCTGTGTGTGTGTGTGTCTTATTGTGTGTGTATGTGTGTGTGTGTGCGCATGTCACCTACAGGGATGGATGGTCCAGGTACGGGTGTGGCTTGTGTAACCGTGGTGACAGCACTGCTCTGATTGGCTGCTGTGGAGGGGGCGGGGTCAGAGGTGGAGTCTCCCTGCAGACTGTCTCCACGCTGCTGAGCTGCAGATGTAAAGAGCAACAGTCCTGACTCTGGTCACATGACATGAACTGTCCAGGTGAGTCCAGGTAAGAGCAAGTTACCTGTGGCGGTGGTGGCGGTGTTCGTGGTTCCTGTCTCGTGAGTCTCACATGGTGGGTTAGAACACACCTGGAGCACAAACACACATCAACACACCTCGAACCAATCACTGATAAACACCAACCTGTCATGGCCAGGTGTGCTCTCACCTGTCGGACCCCTCCTGCCCCAGCAGTGGTGGCGGTGTTCGTGGTTCCTGTTTCGTGAGTCTCACACGGTGGGTTGGAGCAGGTGGTTCCTGTGTTCAGACCGACAACTGAGGACAGATCTGAATTCACCTGAGGAGGAGGCGAGCACCTGAAGGTCACACACCTGAACACCTGAGTGCTCCGACAGGTGAGCAACAAAAACACAGGAGCTGATTCTGGTTCTGTCGGCTCACCTGCAGCATGCTCACCGACGTCACCGTGGTGGTGTTGGTCGTTCCTGTCTCGTGTGTCTCGCAGGGTGGGTTGGAGCATGCTCTGTTGCTGTTGCCAATGGTCGCTGTGGCAACGGTGGGCGTGTTGGTGGTGCCGGTGTCGTGTGTCTCACAGGGTGGGTTGGCGCAGACCAGCGTCACTGTGACATCATCAGTGACATCATTAATCCACCTGATTGTTTCTCCTGCAGTATTACTGCGTACCTGTAGCAGTACTGCACTCCTCTGAATGTCCAGTAGTCGTACTGGTTTCCATACCTGCAGTGTCTCCTCCAGCTCCCTCTGCAGTAGTAGTTGTAGTAGTGCTTGTAGTACTGCTGGGCTCTTCTGAAGTCGGAGAGGCCATGATGGAGGCGGGCAGGTCCTGGACCAGAGGCTGAGCCTCGGCGCCGCTCGGAGTCGTGATTAAAGTCACCTGCAGATAAACGCAGTATTACTACAGGAATACTCCGCAGTACGGACACAAAACTACAGCGATACAACAGGAACATACTGCTGTAACAAAGTACAAATGGAAAACTGCAGTATAGCTGGCAGTACTACACTGAAGTACAACAGTATAACTCTGAGGCTGCTTTCAGATGAACTACCTGTTTGGGTCCTGTTGTGGCAGCGGTTGCCATGGTGACCTGGTTGGCCAACGTTGTGATGGTTGCCAGGGTGGTGATGGGCATCACCAAGGAGGCGTTAGTGCTAGCAACCGTGGAGACACACCCTGGTAACGTCCCGAGACTGGAGACACCTGCAGACACACAACAGACACACACCTGTAAAACACACCTGTAGACGTATCAGAGAGCCTGATGGACAGCTCGTCTCTGATGGTGAACTCCAGGTGTGTTACACCTGATGTGAAGAGCACTTGCACTCACCTGTTGTAGCCTTGACGACCAGTGTGGTGACGGTAGGTTTGGTGCCAACAGCTCCAGGTGACACCAGCCTGACTCCGCCCATCGGGACGGTCCTGAGGATTGTACCTGCTGAACCTGGAGCTCCTTTAAGGACAACCTACACACACACACGTTCCGACATTACAGTTACCCGTGTGTGTTAGTTACCCGTGTGTGTGTGTGTGTGTTACCTGTGTGTGTGTGTGTGTG